TGAGCATCTGTTTTTTTGGCTGAGTATGCTCAGTTGACTTAAAGATTGTTAGTTGATCTTTTTAATTGGAATTTGGGACAGACAAACTCATTCAATCAGGTGACTCCCTGGTTCCAAGCCCAGTTCAGAGAAGATTCTAAAAGGCATAAAACTTTAAGACTGATTTTACTGCTGTAATCTGGAATTTATGGAGGAGCAGACATCAGAAGCTGCCTCAGGCTACTAGTGCTGTTCAGCTAGCTAGAATGGTGGCTTTGGAAGTGTATGATTCCATGGGATTAAAGTGTTAGTCTTTTGGACTCGCTGAGAGTTTAGAGGCCCTATTTGGCCTTGTGTAGTTTTTGAGGGATGCGTTCCCCTTTTGAGCGCCTTTTTATTCAAATATTACTCATCGAAAAAACAAAAAAGTGTTAAGACTTTAATTGATATCTGAGAGTACAGTTTCAATTTTTTTGTTTTTTTGAAGTGGTTAATTTTCTTTGTTATTTTTTGCTGAGGCAGAGGCTGTTGCTGGTTTTTGTTGGGTACAGCCACTGGTTTCCTTTTTCATTTTTTTAACGGGTTGTATGACATTAATACAAAAGCAATATGTACAAAGAACAAGTGAGAGCATCCCCTCAAATTGCATCGGGACAAGTGTAGGGTACAGCAACCGGTTTCTTTTGTTATTTTTCATTATTTCTGGATTTTGGAAATAGGTTTATTCTAGCCTTCTTGTAATGTGAGGGTATGCCCTCACTTTGATTTGAATTTGATTTCTTGGTTTTTTCTAATACGATCACTTAGGGAAAAAGAAAAATAAATATATAAATAATATCTTGTGAAAAGTTGAAAGCTAGCAAGACTGAGTGAACATTGTTGAATGCCTCATTCAAGAATCCCCTGAAGTTCACATCTACAAAAACCATTGGGCAATGGCTATCATTAGGAGTGGAGCAATGGGTTTGTGGTTCAAGCACCTTTGAGATAAATGTAACATGGAAATTAGGTTCATTTTGGGAAAGAGGTTGGCCTAGACCCTGACATTTATGAGTGATACCACGTTTTTAACTCATTAGGTTCAAATTTTCCCACGCTTAAGAGTTGGAGAACAGAGGCAGAAACCTTTAAATTTGTATAAAAGGAGGATTTTAAGGCTCGAGCCATGATTTGAGATATGTCAAATGACATGGACCCACTTGGACCATTGTATAATTGAGTTAAGTCAAGTTGGTCCATTTATGGGTCTTCACATGTGGAGTCCTGAAGCAGTCAGCCTTGAGTCTTTTAAGCGCTTTTATTTATTTTATGATAATGGGTTAAAAGATTAGAAGTATAGAAATCATGATTAAAACTTTAATAAGTTATGGATTCCCTTCATTATGACATAACTTTTTTCTTTTTTTTGGTAAATAAAATTTTATTAAAGAGCTTAAAGGGGGAGCAAATACTGATAATGACAAAACCTTACAGAGTCTTGTGAGTGATCCACAAACACTGCAATCTTCTGTAATTATGATGCCCAATTGCCTAGGCCTTACTAGTGTGACTGACCTCCCCTGAAGTTAGGCGAAAATACTGAGACGTCCCTCCTGAATGTATACTAAAATTATAGTCAAAACTGTCCTTGAGATTGTGTGTCTTTAACAAATACCCGTTTCATGAATGATTAATGCTGATCAGCGTCAAAAGTTACTTATGTCAGCAAAATATTTGTTTAGAATATCATTTTTAACCTTGGAAATGTGTGTGAAGACAATAAAAAACTAATATAAATGAAAGCAAAATTAGTAAAACTATAACTTCCATTAATACCCAACGGCAAAATCTGACAGTGACGGTCACTGTAATTTTTAAATACCTAGGGGAGGTCATTGTAATGTTGCTTAACTAAAGGAGATGTCAGTGTAATTTACCCAATTTTAAATCATTCATTTTCACACTCTATGTTTGACCCCAGTATTGTACTATCTTAAAATTCATCCACTAAATCTTTAACATAAGAAACACGGATATGGATGTGAGACATGGACATGAAATTTTTTAGGAAGACGTCCATACATCAAGGAAATGGTAATATAACATACAATTTTATCTGAAAAACATTTACAATAAATAAATAACATGTGGTTGTAAATTAAATTATGTTATTATGAAGTCTAAGCTGATGAACCCAACTATTGGAAGACATTAAGTGGGAAATGGTCTCTAAGATAGTCTCATTCGAGAACGAGCTCTGGACTTGGAAAGAAAGGACTAGTATTCAGAGAAGTAATTAGCACCTAACACAATGAGTTCAGGTAACATAAGCAGATCAGGCTCCAAACTGATACTATGAGCCTCACAATGGTTTCAATACTGGCACCGTAAACACGAAAAGGGAAGAACCATATAAAATGTCTAAACTAAATTATTTGGATGGTATGATTCCATTGGTAAAGAAGATGTTAGAAGTGCTGAAGAAAAGGTCAAAGTCAATTAAATTCACATGAATTGCATTAAGCTATTTCGATTTGCAAACTAAGGCTTTGTTTGGAGCCAATTATTTTGGGATTTGGAAAAGGAATAGGAATTGGAATTAAAATGAAATTCCATTTATATGTTTGGAACAAATTGGATTTAAAGTTGGATTTAAAATGGGAATTGGAATAAAAATAATATCATACCATTTTTGTCCTTGTTTAAATGATAAATGAAATATTTATTTTATTATAAATTATATTCCAGAGTTGCATCAAATAGACAAACAACGTAAATGACTACATGATAGAACTAAAACATAAAATTTATTTAACAAATCAATTAAAAAAAGAACAATTATTTATTTATTTATTTAAAAAAAAAAAAAAAAAAAAAAAAACTAACTTATTCAACTACCATCACCAACATACTTAAACCAACATATTTAAAAAAAGAATACTAAAATGTAAACTTAAACCTAAGCATTGATTTAATTAATAAGTTCATTTATTAAAGTATATTAATTACTTTGTAACAAAAATAATATGTATATTAACATAAATTTATATAAATATATATTGATAACTGATTAGTATATAAATTACTCAACATATCAATTACTAGTAATTAAAAAGTATGCTACTTAGAAATTGATACACAACAATTTATACACTAAAAAATTAACGAGTATATTAATTGATAACTATACTTTTGCTTATAGAATAAATTTTTAAATATTACTATATTTATTACTTTTTTTATATAAAAGGCTTATGAACTTGGCTTATAAAAGTGTAATCTTTATTCATTCAATCTGTACTGTGTAAATATAAGTTTTGTTGCACATTGTGAATTGTGAATGATCGGATTACATGAATTTTATTATGTCATACTTGTATATATTTTTTAGGTACAAAAATATAAAACTGATGGTGGATCAATTTTTTAGGTACAAAAGTACAAAACTGATGGTGGATCAATCTGCAGAACGCAATTTGAGATATTGGAGAATACCAAACAAAAAACGATGACATATGATTGCTAATGATTATATTTGATTACTAACTTGTACATGCTTATATTCTCAAGACTCAGAGATAAAGATACATATATATTACAACGACATTTAATAGGTTAGAGTTGATAGGTTAATTACTCCCCCTGTCCCAAAAAGAAAGTCTTTTGTTGTGAGTCACAGTTCCCAAAAGACTTTCTTTTTGGGACAGAGATAGTAATATTCAACAAGGTTAATTACGGAAATATCATCATTAAATAATATTTATGTTTCAAATCCCGTCAAATCCTAGCTTTTTAGACGGGATTTGAAACGCATTAAAAACGGTATTTGAAATCCCATCATTTTTAAATCCCATTTATAATCCGATGATTCCAAACAACGTAAATCTTGTTTCCAAATCCAAATCCCATCAAATCCATTATTCCAAACACAGCGTAAAGGGTTTTTATTTGTTAAGTTAGGATTCAGACCTCAATTTGAAAAGATTTGCATGGTACTCAATCGAAAAAATAAAAAATATAAAACCAATCAAATAGCTAATGCAACTCAACACAAAAATAAATAAATAATAATTAAATTAAATAACATTTAGGTTAAATAAAGGACCATAGTTTCGCATATTCCTCTTTAAGTTTAGGTGCATAAACTAGACACATCCACCTGATCTTTACATCCTTAACTCGCTTTATTTTTAATAGAACATACATTACAAATTTCAGTAATCATCATCATCATTGTCGTGTCGTCGTCATCATCATCCTCCTTGCCTTTATCCTGTATGAAAGGGACCGGCCACATGAATTCTCTTTTTCCATTGTTTCCTATTATATACCATGTCTTCTCTTAGATTTAATTTTTTAAAATAGTTTTTTATTCCTTCTGCCCATGTAAGCCTATGGTCGGCCTCTTTGTCATTTACCTTCCTCATTGCCTTTATCCTGTATGAAAGGGACCAGCCACATGAATTCTCTTTTTCCATTGTTTCCTATTATATACCATGTCTTCTCTTAGATTTAATTTTTTTAAATAGTTTTTTATTCCTTCTGCCCATGTAAGCCTATGGTCGGCCTCTTTGTCATTTACCTTCTAGGCAAACAACTCTTCCTCTTCTAACTGACGCATCATCAAGTCTACGATGAATATGGCCATACCACCCAAGTCTACTTTCTCTAATTTTATAATTTATAGGCACTATACCTAATGTTCCACTCACACGTTCATTATTAATCTTATCTTTTCTACTTACTCCTATCATACAAATTTCAGTAATCATTAGTTTCATTTTCATTAAATGTAACAAAAATACATAAACAGTGATATAAAAAGATAACATAAAATAATTCTCTTCCTTTAAACTTCCTCATTGGCTTTCCTCTAGTTACATTCAAAAAGTGCATAAACCATTACCCAAGACAAAAACTTTATCCAACTCCTAGAAGAACTGAAGGGCTCAAAAAATTCAGGAGTGTCTTGAGCTGTGTGTAATTTTTTTTATAAATGAAATTGAATTATATAAAAATAAATGAAGTTCGAGAAAACTGACCGCTTGTGCTACGAAAATGTTTAACCCATGAACCGATATATGAAAGTTCCCAGCAACCCTTTGGACATCTAAAACACCATAAATCTGCAAGAAAATTCTATACCATTAGTTATTTCATTAATATGAAATATGTTCAAATTCCAAAGTGGGACCAAATAAAAGACATACCCGACATCCTTCTCCAACGGAAAGTGCTTGCTTCACCTTCTTAATCATATTTTCAGCATCTTGATCAAAACCATGCAGATGATGTTTCTGATCTGAATTCTCAAGATTGTCTTTGTTGTCATCTGTTTTCCACGAGAACTAGTTTATTAAACAAAAACCATTCCGGCACAACATCCTAAATGAATTTAAATAACTATAAAGCTCAAGAAAATTAAATAGAAAATTCTGACCAATAAAGTACAATACATGAAAAAAAAAAAAAAAAGGTCATTATGCATGTTTTTTCAGTTGTTGCAGATTACTAAGAGCAGTGGACTAGATAAACAACTAACATTTGGGATTATTTGTATAAAGTTGATACTCCCAAGCTTAGATCATAATTCCATGCTTGGCAGCTGACTTTCCCAAGACACCAAGCAATGGCCGCTATATTAGAATACTAGAAAGAGAATGAAGAACAAACACTTATCAAAAAAAAAAAAAATGAAGAACAAACAAGATGGTTCATGCCCCAGTGGATATGCAATCTATATTGGATGACCAGACTATCAGATCAAATAGGATTTGGATTTGTTCTATACAATCTATACCTTTTTTTTAATGAAATTAGAATTGTTAAAATTTGGATGCGGAAATAAGAAATGCAAATAGGAAAAGGGAAGAGAGAAATATGGAGAACACAGGCATATACATGGTTCCGCACTAAGGCCTACATCCATGGACAAAGAGCCACTAAGGGCTACATTTCTATTATTCATATATGTATATTGCTTGAGTACAAAGAGCCTATATATAGGCACGGTAAAGATAAGAAAATATGGAAGTTGTACAATAGTCAAAAGAGGCACCATGATTGGTGGAGGATTTTACTCCACCATTATATAGAAATATTTATAATTGGAAGGAAATTGACCAGATCACCATGATTGGTTGAGGATTTTGCTCCATAATTATAAAAAAATATTTATATATTTCAACAAGAATAATAGATCAGATGTCCCAGTAACAACAAATTGGATTTGGATTTGGATTTGGATTTGTTTTATGTTGATTGACCAGACTATCAGATCAAATAGTAAACAGAATTATTTGACTATATAGGACTGTATAAACCTTTTGGGTATACAGACCAAGTGGGACCAAATCTTGCACAAAAGGACAAAAATGATGGTCTCAAGAAGAATTACGGCCAAAGGTAATCATGGGTGTAATCACCGCCTAAAAGTTGGGAATCTAACATATTAGTCCATTTCACATGGCCTTCTGGGAAGTAAAAACTATCATAAAAGTTCCCAACATTAAACATCTTTATAGAACAGCACTCACAGAATCCAAAATCCACTTTGAATATTCTCCAGTAGGGGGACACTCACCAGGGCAAGGCGACCCTATCCCCACACAACTTCAACTTCCTAGCTCAAAAAGTCATTTTGTTTATTTCAAAACTTCACCTGGTAAGCACCCCATATTCATATCAAAAGACCCACTAGCATGCTTACACTTGCACTAGTTCCTCAAACCAAGCACTCATATCCACTCATGAAAATCTCCCCCCAACCACCAAAAAAAAAGTGTTTTAGTATTTTTCCACCTGCATGATAGCCAGTTGACTAACTATTCAATATGATGTGCCCTCAAAGAAATCTACGAAGGACAACAATTATCAAATTGATTAAACAATAAGAACAAGTAGATTTAAAAGTCAACCAGCAATTAATCTTCATCATAAGAACTGGAGGACTAAGTTTCCTGACTTTAGATTCAAATTTACAATACCAGACACGATGCTCAAGAAGCTGTCACACTGCACCGATAAAGGTCCATTTTAATAAATTAACAACTACAAGCATGCATTTCTAATTCCAGAAACTCGGGTTTAGCCATCAAAATTCAGTTGGGATTGCACAAAACATACAGGGATAGCACTTACACTACAAATCACTAAAGAGGAGAAAAATAGAAGCATAACTAATTTCTTCCAGACCAAAAATAAATAAAAAAAATTCACCGATAACTTTACCATGCTTATGAGCAGTGTGTTCCTTTTCCACAAGGTCCGACAAATATTCAGTGCCAATGATATAGCCATCTCTATTCAGGCGAAGCTGCAGAAATTCTCTACTTGTTATCAGAATGATATACAATAACAATAGTGACTTGCATCTATGAGAGAGAGAGAGAGCAACATAAAAAAAATATGCCAATGGTGATTCTGGGGTTAAAAGAAAACATGAAAGAAGCATAGAAAGCTTGGAATAGAAAACGGAAAAGGATACTTTCAAAATTACCACTACCCGGTAGTTCTCAAAATAAATTCTCTAAAAGATTTATATGAAATTGTTATTCAGAGAAAATTCAGAGGAGCACCTGCGATTGGTGCAAGCAATAAGACAAGATTCCTTTTCAGGTCAAAGTTTCAACTATCATTTGACTCCAAAATTGGTAGTTAACAAGAAAAAGCATGCAATACACTGAAACACATGAATTTCTTCCAACACTGAAGGAATTCAGCTTGAACCTAAGTGCCCTATTTCGACCATCCAGGTGGCCAGAAGAGCTATCAGCGTGCAGAAAAACAAGTTGAGAGTGAATCTGGGATTAGTTCTCCAAATTAGTTTTCTGCATCCATTGATCCTTAACAGTTTTAACGAGCGATTGTCACATTTAGCACTTATGTGAAACTACAACACACCAGAATGCACCAATCAATCAGATCACACTACCACCGTGACATGGTATCCTAGTTCATTGTCACCCTTGCTTTGATACCAACTGAATGGGTTGGTACTGGATATTCTAATTATTGTTTCTTTATTATTGGCATATTTTATAATTATACTAATATATATATTAAAAAAAGTATAAAGAAAATATATTGCAAATGCATTATGTATGTGCTCTAGAGGAGCTATCAACCAATGGTAAATTATAAATTTGATGCTCTCCCAATTCCATTCCCACTCTACGAATTGAGCACTAACGTTTTGAACCTGGTGTCCCACATATTTTCCTCCATTGCATTTAGTTAAGTTCATTTTCTATATAAAAATAAATTAACATTCTGAATGTTAATTTTTTTTTTTAAAAAAATTCATTTTTAGAAGACAAATACTATCAAGTACAATGCATGTAGGTCTGAGAACAAGCTGCAAAGAGCTCATGCTTGACATGGTAAGCTGTTCCTTGAAGTTCAGACAGACCGCTGACTTATAATTTACAATTCATTTAGTAAGCAACCAGAGCCTCAGCCACCTATGGCTTATCAGCTCATTAGGTCGCAAACATAAGATTACACTATGCATTTCCAGATGTGATGTTTCATTGGATTACGGGAAGGGTTAATCCCTCCTCAAATTTTCTTTTTTCTTTTATGCTTCAATTTATATACTGTCATTATACACAATTATGTGACTATATAGGATTGTATATACCTTTTGGGTGCACCCCCTTTGTGCTCCTTAATGAAATTTACTCATACATAAGAAAATAGTTCTTTGGCAATCAGAAAACTGAAAAGTTTTTGTCAAATCAATTTTCCTTTAAGATATACATAAATGAGGACGGGCCTTGGTGCAATGGCAAGTTTGCTTACGGGTTAAAGACAGAAAACAATCTCTCTGCATGCGGAAGTAAGGCTGTTTACATCTAAGATCCCGCAATGGCAAGAGCCTCGTGCACTGGGCTAGTCCTAGCCCTTATATACACACAAGCATATAATAAGTAAAAGTCACTCGAGAATTACAAAAACAGAATTCAAATTCACCTCAAGTCAAGGAGTGCCAAGTATGAGCAACTCACTGATAGTAATGTCCTGATCTTAATCACAATGACCTTTGCTAGCATCAAACCTCAGCCAAGCTCAAGCAAAATATAAACATGACTAAGGAAACCCAAATAACTTTATTACACTCATTTAAACTCTAGCCCTAAAAAGCAATGAAGCCTTTGCCAAAGACACAGAGGAAAGGAATCCGAAAGACGAAAGAAAATCAAAGAATTTTGTTTAGCTAACAAAGAGAGGACACTTAAATTAAAAAGAAAATAAAAAATCCACATGATGCATATAGATGAGATGTTCTAAAAATGGATATGACAATACAGGGCCAGGAAAAATAATAAAATAATAAAAATTAACTGCCATTTGCAAATAACCGCACCACATCATAAAAACTTTACTGTCACTAAGAGAATTACATAACTAGACCTTACAAATTGAAAATGGCAAACTCAAATAAAAAATAAAAAACTCCTTAATTATCACACTTTTGTGAATGGTTCCTCATACAATAAAACCCTGATCCATCATGGCATTAGTTCAAGTTCCTTACTGGTTGGATGGATCATATTTTTGTTCACGGTCAAAGGAACGCAGAGAGAACAAAGAGAAACCACTTTATATTCAAAAAGGGTAAAACCATAAAATACTGCATCATGTACAATGGTGCCCCACACAACTACATTTTGTCATCCTCTCAACAAAAACATGGCAGTAGAAAAATATTTGAAAAATCGTAATAATTCAGATGATTATTTAACAAATTATAAACAAGGATAGAATTGCCATAAGAATAATAAATTACATCACATGCATCAAATGTTACGTCATATCCATTCACTTTTTAATAGCAAAATGACATTAAGGGGAAAAATTCAGCAGATGATGTGCAGCATGTCATTCTGCTTTCTTTGTTGATTTTCTCCCCATGCTTTCTCCACGGGCTTTTAAACTAAGATATGTAAATATATGCATTTTTACATTCCTATTTCAGGAAAAATTAATAATAATAATAATAACAATAATAGTTAATTCCAAAACACTCAAATAAAGCCATCTTCACATGTATTTTGGGACCCAATATTCCAATATCAGTCTGCAATCGATTGTCTATTTTGATAGGAATAGATACCTGACGAAAATCCAAATCATTATCTCTTTAAAGCCCTAACAAAATGCTGCTACATAAGTATGATTACCTCCTATTTTCCATTCACACAAATACAGCATCAAATAGTAAATCAAGTTCAAATGCAAATATAATATATATTATCTTCACAAGAAAAGCAATCGTCTTACTTTCCATATATTCGTATCAAGATCCACTTCATGATTGCCTGACATATCAATGGCATCCACACTCAACACTGCAAAATAATATATATATATATATATATATATATATATATATATATATAAATACATACATATATAAAATAAGTATATGTGAGCATTTAAAAAATATATAGAGGCAAAGAAGATGAGAAAAAGTGGTAAATAAGGGACAAGAAAAACATGGCAGTGAAAAATAATAAAGGAACATGCTAACCGTCACAAGGTAAGGAAGGGAATGTCATATTTATGTGGATTGGAAGAGTTTCACCGCGTTTTAAGTCAACAGCCATCTGGAAATATGAGTAATTCAAAGTCCAAAATTGAAAAGAGATAAAGACTGACAAAGATCCGGCAAGTAAATTGCAGTGTAACTCCCCAGCAAAAGTAAGAGAATGAGGAAAAAAACCTGGGCTTCAAAAAGAATGAAGACAACAGATTACATGCAGGGAACTCAGTAAATTAATAACAAACCTGATGAACTGTGTACGTGGAAAGATAATATCTCAGCTCATGCAAGAATAGTGTGGCCATTATGACTAGACCAACAATAGAGACTACATGGATCAAAAGACATGAAGAGGCTCAAGTTAGTAACTAGAATCAATATTTTAAGTAATAGACTAAAGAATAGAATTGTTAATTTATTTAACATAAACTATTTCCAAAATGTCCATACAATGTGTGCATGTCATTTTGAATTTTTAAATTTGGCATCAAGCCTCTCCATTGGGTAAAATTTGTTTCAGAGGAATGTTCACAAATCCGTTGAAGCTTTTCATTTGTTTTTTAATTGAAATATAATAAAATCATTTTGTTGAAGAAAACAAAGCAGGTAACTGATTCAAATCATATCTGAAAAAGAAACAGAAAGAAAGAACAAGTTTCCGTATAAAAGAGTGTAAGACTCCAACTGAACAAAGCTGCTCATGAACAGCTCATGCTTGGCTTGTTGGAAAGCTTATTTGTATACCAATTAGACAAGAAAAGCTTAAGCTTATGTCGCAGGCATGATTACTTAATAAGCCAAGCTAGATCAACACCAAGCTTCAGTTGCATAGGCATCTAACCGTTGGTACAGACATCAAGAAAAATCTCTTAACATGGTCCATCATACGTCGAAAAATAAAAAAATATATGACTTATTCAAGTATAATATAAACTTAAATCATTATTTTACATTACTCAACAAGAACAAGATTCAGACATAGAAGCGTATTGGATAAACCATCTTAACAAGCTCCATTCAGATCATCTAAAAGAACTAAGTTGAGAAAAATACAATTGGACCAAGCTTGAACATGCATTTTGAGTTTGAGATAAACTGTCCCCCTTTCATCTAGTATTTTGAATAGGCAACGCACGCACAAGCAGACGAAGGAACTGGGTCATGATAAGAACAGTCAATCAACGTTATCCAATTTGAGTAGGCCAGAGTTTGGTCCGTGCTGGATCCAAATTCTACTAAATTAACCTTGAATAGCCTTTGCAGCTCTACTAAAAGCGGTGGAAGGATGACAGAAACTCTATAAAAGGACTATACCATTACACAGATGTGCCCAATCCCTATACACTTGGCCCATATGAACTCCCTTGATTGTTAATGAGATCAGGAAAAAGCCACCAAGACAAAAGCAGTTAACCACTTAATTCCACTTCTTCCCATTACCTCCATAAATCCTCCCATCTCTCCTTCTAAATCACAATCAAAGATATGGTTTCCATATAATTATTTCTTATTCTCCCCTAAACTTTATAGCTCCATCCTGATCCCAAACATCATCTGTTCCAAATAAAAATAAAAAAGGCATACTGTTTCCATTTTTTTTTTTACAAGTATACTGTTTCCATATATAATTAGAGAAAGGACGATAAAGAAGAAGGTGTTAACAATTTCATATTGACATTTGCGAAATCTACAACAGTTCACATTTCTTCCCAAAATCACATCATTGACCAAAAAAAAAAAAATCAGAAAACCTCCTAGCAGTTAAAGAAAGCTGCAACGAAAGAAACCAGAAAGCATCCTGTATCGGAAAAGAAACATTGCCATTGTCCTTCAAAGCAACACAATAGGTGATGCAGCAGCGGGTAGGGGCGATTCAAAATCAGAATTCAAGTAGAATAAGAAAGAGATTGAGAGAGAAAGGGAATAAGAATAGAGGGAAAGAAATCAGAAGAGAAGAAGAATTTAGAAGAGAAGAAGAATTCAGAGGGAGAAGAAATCACAGATAATCTCAAATTCAATATCAATAATAATCATAAAAAGCTCCCTTTCCCAATGTCTGAACCAACATATAAATAGACATCAAAGAAAACCCTAATCAACCTATTACCATAAATAAAACCCTAAATTGCTGAAATATTCCATAATAATAATAAATAAACAAAAATCCCTAATTCTATCTTTCTTTCCCACGTCTCCAATAATAGGCATGGGCCGTATGGACTTCAAGCTCTCGGGCCAGGCCGGTTCTTCATCATTCCCTCCTGGTTGAGAAGAACTCTCCTCCGGAGAGTAAATGCATAAGTATATCTCCAAAAAGTAGGGGTCAATACTCCGTCTGGTATTTAAAACTGGAAAACCCTTCCATCGAACAAGGTAATAGTCAATATCTCCAAGATGAGGGCCATCACTCTGATAATCAACAATATCCTTTGTCCAAGCCATATAATGCGACTGAAAAGATAGATGAACTAATGTCGGTGCTGAGGAAAATGTAAATCCACCTGTAGGAACACATGCCAATAAAATAGGAGACTCAAAGGTGCCTCGGTTAGGTAACAAATACTCCACATCAAAATTTGAACTAGTACTTATATCCAAAGACCAGTTAAAGAAATACGCATTAGGTCCTGATTTTTGAATGATGTGGCAAAGTCTATCAATTTTGGCATCTTTCATCTGGAAGGAGTTTTTATGACAAGGTTGAGGTAGTGCACAAATTATAGCATAATCTCCTTCAATAAATTCATGATTCCTATGATGAGCATGTGCAATGAGTTCATAATTCTTTTTACTCAAGACAATTTCTTGTCGCATATTGGCATAAAAATCATGAACAAACTGAACGAAGAAATCAACAAACTCAAGTGAATACATACATGGAGGTGAAGGAACATGATCAATGGACTGGCATGGAAATGAATTATAGACAATTTTGAAAAAATAATTGCCAGTAAATTGATTTGTTAAACTTGTATAGGCATATTCCATTATGGGCAATAACAAATTCCAAGTGTCTAGGTGCACATTAGTAAGAAAACTGACCAACTTTCATAGACCTTGTTTCACAACCTCAATTTTTCTATCATTCAAAGGACAAGATGCAAAAGGAAACTTCAAATTTGTTTCTAAGAATGTCCAAAGTGTCTTCCAGAAATTACTGTTGTACTTGACATCCTTGTTTGACACAATAGACTCTTTTTCAGACACATCTTGACCAATAGAAGTGACTACTTCAGCAAAATCAATGGACAAAAGGACCATGGATGGTAGAGCTGAAAGACAAGACTTAAGAATTGTGGCACAATTGTTCAAAACTTTTTCTCCTAACTTGTAAGATTGAGGTGAAATAGTTTGATTTCCCCTCTTAACACTAGTTAGAAGAGGACGAAGTAGCTCTACTGATATATGGTCGCTTTCTTCCAGGACAAGAGTCATAATTTTCTCCATGGATGAAAAGACACTATCGGAGTGATAATAACCTATTTCCCTTAAAAAGTGTTCAAACATCTCAACAAGTAATTCATTACATTCCAAATCAAGCATAACCAAACATGACTTGACATTTGCAAATGTGTGGATAATTTTGATCCTTTTACCATAAGATGGACTAGTTGTATCAGATAAATTTTCAAAAGATGATACAGTCATCTGAAATACTTCTACCATTTGATCATCATTGTAGGGAAAATCTGGTGCTGTAATCCTTGTTAACTCACTAAGGCATGAGGCCACTGCAACTCTAACATCACAATCTGAATGCTGTAAAAATTCTTTAGCAATTAAAGCCTTCATTATTGGAGAGAGTGCAGCTTGCATTGAAGCACATGGGTCCTAGTTTACTTTGCAAAGCAAGTGATCAGTTTTGGTAAGCAACCAAAGGAGCTGACCGATTGAGGATGGAGGTTGAAAAAGCCTATTTCCAATTTTCAGAAGTTGTTGTTTCAAATTTATTTTCAGTGTTGTTTTTGTTTCCCTTTCATTTTCACACCAGTTAATTATATTTCCGTGTGATGGGAAGCTTGGTTTAGACTCAACAATCTTAACCTTGCTTGGCTTAGAACAAAGACATTGGGGACACAAAACGATGTTCTCCTCTGACATCGTTAAGAAGATGCATCAGCTAGGTCTGGACAGAGTTTAAAGAAGGTTGTTGATGGCTATGGTGGAAAGGTATGACATAAGAATGGTAGAGGATAATGCCAACATAGAACTCAAATTGAATTAAGTAAACTAAATTATAAACTAGAACAATGCACAACTAAGAAAATCATAATGCAATAAAATCGATTATGTCAAAATTCATGCACTGATTGTAAGTGTTGAGGTGCAAAAATAAGGTGGAAAACCTTTGGCAAGAAAAGCACTCGAAGGAAAATAATAGTAAAAGAAATAAATAATTTGGTTCAATAATCAAATGGGTTCAATTAGGACCTTTTGCAATTTCTAAACCAATCAAAAAGATAAAAGTACTAAAACAATTTTCAAGTGAAGAATGTGTACCTTTTCCGAAGTACTGTGTAGATCCCAATTGAATGCTCCGAGTGTTGAAGATTGAATTCTGTGCTCTCTTTTTTTTTTTTTTTTTTTTTTTTTTGGGCTTGGTTGGGTTTAGGGTTGATGTTGGGATTGGGATTGGTGCTAGGGTTTGTAGACGGCTTGTGTTTGATGACTGATTTGGTTAAGGTTACAGTGAACAGTGGGTAAATACTATGATGGTTGTGATGGATGATGGCAGCGGCAGTGGTGGCTAGGGTTTGCTTGGGTTTTAGGGTTGAACAGTATGGGTTTGATTGCTGTGAACAGTAGAGTGCGGTTTGGTTGTTGTGAACAGTAGAGAAATCTATGGACCTTTCCTCTGATACCAATTGATGCAGCAGCGGGTAGGGGTGATTCGAAATCAGAATTCAAGTAGAATAAGAAAGAGATTGAGAGAGAAAGGGAATAAGAATAGAGGGAAAGAAATCAGAAGAGAAGAAGAATTCAGAGGGAGAAGAAATCACAGATAATCTCAAATTCAATATCAATAATAATCATAAAAAGCTCCCTTTCCCAATGTCTGAACCAACATATAAATAGACATCAAAGAAAACCCTAATCAACCTATTACCATAAATAAAACCGTAAATTGATGAAATATCCCATAATAATAATAAATAAACAAAAATCCCTAATTCTATCTTTCTTTCCCACGTCTCCAATAATAGGCATGGGCCGTATGGACTTCAAGCTCTCGGGCCAGGCCCGGTTCTTCGTCAATAGGACTTGACAAAGAACACTCCATACACTTGGCCCATATGAACTCCCTTGATTGTTAATGAGATCGGGAAA